TCACTAACAACTACATTGTAAGAAATGAAAATTATGAATTCAGTTAGTTTTACATATATTTATAAAAACCCAGAAACTACCGATTCTATTTTCGTTTAATTTCAGTTATTTTAAAAAATATCAAAACGTTGTATTGAGCTTCTATTCGATTCGGTTTGGTGCCACTGGATTAAAAATTTTAGCATTTTGTTCTGGGCAACCATCAATAACATGTTTTGAGACAGACCTGGAAATTTCACGGCATTTTCTGTGATAATTATCTGCCCTGAGTTCTGAATAAACAAAAAATACCTAACAAACAACATTCTTGCTCAATTTTACCATTACCCTGGGTTGACTAACTGTACCGTTACATGATCATCAAAATCTGAAGAAATTACTGTGATAATATGGAAATATTAATTCGTTTCAATGTTGTGTTTTTGTTGCTCTATATCTCAAAAAATATTTATTCTACTGTGTCGTACTATACAGGGTGTAACTGAATAAGTGTAAAACATTTGAGGAGGTGATTCCCCATCGAAAAAAGATAGGATCTTTCATATAAAGGAACTTCATTGTCTCAAGCTGTGGTGTTCGTACTTCTCGATGGCGACCACAATCCTGCGTTCTTTTGTCGAATGAACCATATTCTCGTAATCGTTGATGAAGTCGAGCAAATATTCTATGTGAAGGATGCTGTCGTTGAGGATACATTTCTTCTAACCCATTCCCCTGCGACAGACCGTAAACGTAATGCATATCAGCCATTTCCTTATTTGTGTATACCATTTCAATAACAAGTGAATTATTAAAGTAACAAATTAAGAACAGAACAATTAGTATTGATTCAATTTCGAAAATTCACAAACTGACAGCGTCATACCAATTTAATTGTCACTATCGCTAATAGCGACCTACTAGATAGATTATAATTGAAGGGGTTATATTTTTTAGGAGTGATTAATTTTTTGGGAAAGAAAGTTTTTGGCAGCGCTTAACGACATAATATAGTAATAAGCTGAAAAGAGGCACAGTCAATGGTTTCCTTTCCTGAAAATTGCACAGTTTTTATAGTCGCTTCAAAAGTAATTGCTTCATTCATAAAAGGAACCAATTTCAAAGTCGTTAACGATGCTCTGCTATAGCTATTGTAAGTCGCTGTTTTTTTTTCCAGGTATTCCAGCAACATTAAACTATGTCCCTTTGAATATACCTGTGAAAAACCCAAGACTCATTCCTTATCCAGACTGGGAGTCAAACGAACTAGGAAATTGCGAAAAAGGACTCAGTACCGTCTACAGGATCAAAGCAGACAAATGCGACAGATTATGGGTCCTAGATACTGGAACTTTTGGTATCGAGAACACCACGCAGAACCCATGCCCCTACGCCCTGAACGTCTTCGATTTACGAACAAACCAAAGACTGAGAAGATACGAATTGAGACCGGAAGATACGAATGCCAACACCTTCATCGCTAATATTGCAGTGGATCTGGGAGACACTTGTGACGATGCCTTTGCTTATATGAGTGACGAACTAGGCTACGGTTTGATTGCCTATTCATTCAGGGAAAACAAATCCTGGAGATTCACCCACAGCTACTTTCTGCCCGATCCTTTGAGAGGTGATTATACCATCGACAAATTGAATTTCCAATGGGGCGAGGAAGGCATCTTCGGCATGAGTCTAACCCCTCCTAAAGCAGATGGCTTCAAGTTGTTGTACTTCAGCCCCTTAGCTTCCCATAGGGAGTTCGTGGTTTCCACGCAAACTTTACGAAATAGCTCGAAAGTTGGCAACAGCTGGAATGAATTTTATGCCTTGGCAGAGAGGGGCCCGAACTCGCACACAACATCTAGAGTAATGGACGATAAGGGCTTACAATTTTTCAATTTGATAGATCAAAACGCCATTGGATGTTGGAACTCCGAGAAGGAATACAAGGCCGAGAATCATGGAATCGTCGATAAAGATGACGAAGAATTGATATTTCCTGCTGACGTTAAAGTTGACCGAAACGAAAATCTGTGGGTTATCTCTGATAGAATGTCAAATTTCCTACTGTCCTCGTTGAACTATAATGACATCAACTTCAGAGTTATGTTTGCACCCATTGATGTTTTGGTGAAAGACACTGTTTGTGAATGTAGACCTAACGACCTCTCAGGTTTAAGAATACCGCACCGATTTGGACAATTTCCTGTGCAGCTGTATTCGCCTTACCCTGGAAAAAGCCTGTTTTAGTTTTTGTATCCTCTAAAGTATTGGCGATTCACTGATGAAGAGGGTTTGTATTTTTCAAGTTCTCAGAAATACTATACCGTCGCTAAAATATTATAGTTTCACCTACATCGTCAGATCAGTCTGAAAATGTACGTGAATTTGTCTGTGAATCTAGAAAAACCTTCGAATTCTTCACATTCTCAAAAATTGAATCGATACAGAGTATCACAATAAAATTACTGATAATAAATTAATTTTTTGGGAACTCATTAATTGTAATATAGCTACAAAAATTTGAATCATTTTCCAGAGATTGTTGCTAATATCAGCTTGAAATAATTTCAAATTAGAAGTACCCGAAGAAAAAATGCATAGAATTATTCAACGATTATTATTAGTTTGTCTTCTTCGATAAAACTTTGTTTTCGAATAATCAGTTTGCTCAATAAGCTGCGTTGATTGGAAAACACTCAAGTGAAAACTTTTTAATTTTTCAAAACAAAAATTTTGTCGAACCATTCTGTGAAAGTATGATGAAATATTTATGACGTTTTCTTCATTTTGGGCTTCTCTAGAAAGATATGTTTCACCGACTTTCACTTTTTCATTGGTTTCGAAGTTATTTTTCATTAGCCTGAATTTTCTGTTATTCATCGGTTCCTCAATTGAATAGAGTAAAATAAATTCTCTGTAAATTCTGCTGGTACTTTCGTCATTTAACAAATATAGAGAACAATCATCATTGGATTAAATAATTAGCCAAATTCACCCCAAATTTTTAAAACATTCTGTTTCTACCCCCTTTCGATTGATATACCGCACTCCTTTGTGGGCGTGGTCCTTTTAATTAAGTGCAACCCAAATACCGATACTTATTGATAAAAAATTGAGATGATGAAATCGATGAATTATGTNAAACTCGACTATTCCTATGAGTTTAGTTATAAAACATTCTCTTCCATTTAGTTTTCTACATTTCCTGAAGACACCAACTTGGTTGATGAAATGCGCAGCGAGAATAGTATTGCAGTTTCTGTGTTGCTTGTTTTGAATTCATTTTATATCAAAGGCTCCAGTTTAACCTTTCATGAAGTTGACATGTTCAAATAATATCATTTTATTGAATATAATTCTGAGCAAGACTGAATTATTTAACGTAAATGGTTCAAGCATAATCCAATCAATCATTATATAACTTTATTCATTTATTCTAGAATTTGTATCAGATCGTGTAAAGTCAAGTTCACGGTAGGTTGACCTCAAAATGTAATGAATAAATGTTTTTTTAAATCTGAATAAATTAAGAGTTCAACTTTTGATATTCGATATTTTGAACATTACATTCTTATGTTTATTTGGGAGATATACTGATATACTGATAGTAATATTTGCAGTGCATCAATAGTGTTGTGAATTATCCCCTGAAACAAAATACCGCCGGCCGCCGCTGGTGTGCGTCAATCGATTGTTACTTGGCCAAGGTCACACTAAACTCGACTTGTGTTTCTCGATTATTCTAGATGCCGCGTAGCTTCAAGAGACTTTCCTATCGGTTTCCAGAGGCTTCGATTGCGATATATAAACACTACTAACAGGCAGATGGGGCAAATCTTGCTGAAAGTGGGGTACGAAGGGATCTAATGAGGCGGTAGACATTCAAGTATCAGTCTGAAGTTCAGTGTAGTCATTTATCGTCGAACCTACGGGGAAAACGTAACAATTTCTTCGGAAGAGTTCATTCTCATCGTTGCTTTTGTGCCCGATAATATGGACGTTCAATAATAGCCTCTTAGTTTCAGTGACGAAAGCATTGCCACATTAAAATGTATCCAGTAATTCAAGTTTTCGGACTCGTTGTTTATGTTTGGTGGTCTTGATGAGGTTGATGTGGAACGTGAAGCCATGTTCGAAGATTTTAATCTTGAATTCAGATCCGTTTCTTCTGACTTTCGTCAAAAAAACTGTTATAGTGAACAGCACAACAATGATTCCAATGATTTTCGAAAGGAAAACTATTTGTAAACAAACTATCAGAATGTAGGAAGTGAANAATGTAGGAAGTGACTAATACAAAACAAGTGGGAACTTCCAAAGGAAAGAAGAAAGCAATTGATTTCAAAATAAACTCTTCACAAAGATGTGTAAATCATGCAGAGAAGTAACACTGCATTATATAAAAAACACTTTTTTTTCCTATTCAGTTTGTACTCAAAATATTCGTTACGGAATTTATTCAGATATCATTCATAGGATCGCTACACAATATCTTATGTGAAGAAGATAAAATTCAATTTACGAGTACACAAAACACTGTGTCGTCGTCAATGGAGGACATTGATGTTTCGGAATAAGACTCTTGCCTTATTTCCTCTTCAGCACTAATCTGGATAACATTACAAAATGAAGCACTCAATTCATTCATAATAATTCGAAAATAGATTTCTGTTTTCTTTTGTTTATAAATTTGAATTCATTGGATATGCCAGGCATGCCACCGCATAATTTACAACTGAAGTTGGATCGCTCTGTAATTTAAATCTTCCACGGCTGTGCAACTGCACACGATTAGTCATTAAATTTTTTTAAACGTATGCAATTTCCAATTAGATAATAATATTATGAATAACGATGGTGGACCAATACCTGAAATGATACTATATAGCTGGTTGAAATAAAATTTTATCATCAGATTTATTTGACTGTTAGATAAGGCAACATTGTAAACTTAATTTGAGACAATTAAGACGCAGGTACCTATCAGAGGTATCAATGGTATAAATAAGGACAATATTGTATGTAATTTAGTTTAATCTTCCTCTTGAAGATGATCACTTGGTGATCGAAACACGTGTCTATTCTTATGTTTATTTGGGAGATATACTGGGTTCGAATTGTTTATCAATGAGTCATCTTCATTAACATTTTGTTTATTACAACAGATGAAAGCAAACAACTTCCAAACTGCTTCTAACTAGTAGGAAATTTTCAGTATTCTAATCAGAATTTCTGATAAATTTCTTCATTGATTCATTCATCTAGTTAAAAGTAGCAAATGATAATAACTCTCCTCGCTATTCTCACACATTCACATAAATATTCATCTGCTTGTGTCGATGAATACTCGTATACCCTGAAGATTAAATTATCCCCTGAAAAAAAATAACGTCGAAAATAAGTCGCTTCGAGAATATCCCTTTCGGCTTCCGAAGACTTCCATCAAGATATATAAGCTCTACCAACACGCAGATGGGGTAAATCTGATGCAGTATATAATCATATACATAATTCCGCAATTGTAGTAATATTTGCAGTGCATCAATAGTGTTGTGAATTATCCCCTGAAACAAAATACCGCCGGCCGCCGCTGGTGTGCGTCAATCGATTGTGACTTGGCCAAGGTCACACTCAACTCGACTTGTGTTTCTCGATTATTCTAGATGTCGCGTAGCTTCAAGAGACTTTCCTATCGGTTTCCAGAGGCTACCAACAGGCAGATGGGGCAAATCTTGCTGAAAGTGGGGTACGAAGTGATATAATGAGGCGGTAGACATTCAAGTATCAGTCTGAAGTTCAGTGTAGTCATTTATCGTCGAACCTACGGGGAAAACGTAACAATTTCTTCGGAAGAGTTCATTCTCATCGTTGCTTTTGTGCCCGATAATATGGACGTTCAATAATAGCCTCTTAGTTTCAGTGACGAAAGCATTGCCACATTAAAATGTATCCAGTAATTCAAGTTTTCGGACTCGTTGTTTATGTTTGGTGGTCTTGATGAGGTTGATGTGGAACGTGAAGCCATGTTCGAAGATTTTAATCTTGAATTCAGATCCGTTTCTTCTGACTTTCGTCAAAAAAACTGTTATAGTGAACAGCACAACAATGATTCCAATGATTTTCGAAAGGAAAACTATTTGTAAACAAACTATCAGAATGTAGGAAGTGAATTCAAGAATGGCGTCTATCAGATACCTCTAGAATGTGGCGTGTATTACATCGATGAATCTAAAACGCGACTGAACGGTCACGATCAGTGAGCTCAAGTAGGACACTCGACGAGAAGAAAGTAACAAGTCAAGGGCATACCTCATTCCATCAACCTGACAATCAAGTGGTCCAAAGCACCATAATCCACGTATATTATGTATATCGAAATGAAAAGGTGTTTTTCAGCAACTCCACGAGATGTGTGAAATAAAATCTCGAAATACTAATCAAATTTGGCAAATCTTCATCATTTCCTACATTATGTTTGATAGAAATAAAACTGAAATAAATAACATCTCATTAACTCACCTTGTAAATGGCTGCTGTAAATTTACGATTTCCAATGATAAACTCCTGTAAAGCATCTTCTTCAGTTGGCGCAGCCCTTATTCCGCAAACTATGGCGAAAATGAGTATGGGAAACTTCATTTCGATTTTCTATTTTATCTGAAATAGATTGAGATAAAATAAAATCAGTCAGACGAATCATCTGATAAAAATTATATAGAGTCAGAAAGTTCTATTAGATGATGAAAAGAAATCATGACACTGAAATGTCTACACCTAACAACAATAATAAAGATGATATTCGAAAAATATAAATTCGTCTTTAAAGTCATGAATTTATCATTAAATCAACTTTAAATTAAAATACAACTATACAAAATTCGATTAGTTAACACGTCAGTTGTTACAAAAACAGGAAATTATTAAATTTGTTATCCACAATAATACATGTGATACGTTTTAATGACGTATTTAATACAAAAGAAAATCCGATAAAAAGTTTTAGCAGGTCCGGCCGAAAATTAAAAACTCAAAAACTGCAACAAATTGCACAACACTCACAATTCTATTGAAACTCCTTATTACAGTTTATTGTATTATTTTCACTATAAATCATACAATAGTGAAAATCATACAATAAACTGTATCAATTAGTTTTTTAACACTTTCGAAGCCGAGAACATCAGAGATCACACATTTATTTAACACTACTCTAAAGCATCTGAGAAGCGAATCGTAGAATTGGGCGAATTCAAGAAGGAAGTTAGGAATATTATAGTTAAATATGCTTCAACTGCCGAGTATTTTACTCACTTTCCATATCCCATGATCTATTTAAAATCAAGTTGATTATTGGCACCTTGGTTGCCTTACGTGTCATGCAAGGAATGCAAGTTAGAAGTGTTCTGTGTACTCAAAAATATTTGAAATTTTGAACTCTGAGTCAGAAAAATGATGCCGCAGACACCGTATTCACCAGATTTGGGCCCCTGCGACTTTTTTCTGTTCCCAAGTTCGAAAAGACCCATGAAAGGAAGGCGTTTTGCGACGATTGAGGAGATCAAAGCCGAATCTCTTTCAGAGTATTTCATTCCTCGTCTTCAATTGGAGCGAACAACAAAAATGTCACTCCATCTAGTGAACGAGGTACTAACCAACTGCATATCCGAAATTTGCCTGATTCCTCTGTATAAAGAAGAAAAACTTTCTCATTAGTCAGTGGGCTATGCTTGAAGACAGGCAGTCAGTCAGTCCATTCAACTGTGTAGGTATATCCGAGACTGGCTTGAACATTTAAAGTTCATTTCTTTAGATTTGTTTACTGTCTGTTTTCAAGCATAGTCCACTGACTAACAAGAAACTATCAGAGTGGTATTTATTGCCCAGATGTCGATCTCACTACATATTCATCCAAGTTTATTCTTTTGAATTTCCATTGTTCAAAGAATTGTCATCCTTGCCACATTCTTGTTTTTATTTTTTGTAATATCGGAATATTTGGTTAATAAACAATAATTATCGGAGATCGAAAGTTATCAGTCAATAGTCTTTCCAAGTATATTAATAAGTGAAAAGTACTCAATAATAATGAGATATGCTAATCAGTTTGTTAAGAATTTGAATTCAGAAAGTAAACGAATATGTTTCCTTTCGAAATAAATTTGTACATTCAATAAGATATTGATCAATAATTATATTTAAATATTCAACATCGTTCAAATGTCGTTACCTTTCACTTCGATGTTAGTTCGATTGGTTCCTTATTCGAAGTTCAATGCCAACAAATTGGAATCGAATGAATTATTTGAATACTTATCATAATTTCCAGTATTTTTGATGAGACTTCCATTATCTGCGAGATACGTCACGATAGTCTTAGTATTTGTGCAATGGCTCTCAAGAATAAATACAGAATACTTATTTCCATAAATAAACAAAAATGTGAATATTTCATTAACGGCAATGATCTCCATTACAAAATCTAATATTGACTTGTTCGAAAAATAAAAATCATTTAGTCAATTTAGTTAATAACGACCAGATGGCATGTCTCTCATACCATGGAAATACGGTAAACCTGTGGTATGGGACTTTACTTGCGTTGACACGGTCGCGGCTTCCCATCTAGCCGAAAGTTCCAAGTCTGCTGGAACTGCAGCATTGTCTGGCGAGAAATTGAAAAGGAAAAAATACCAAAATCTTGGAAACATTTTCCTAATACGACTAATTACCAGTCCGTGCAAAGCTTATTGTTAAATCATCTGAAAATAGAATTTTTAACAGGTGATGATCGACTGTATTGTCAAACATGCGCCAAACTAAATGACTGTTATAAGGAAACAAGTATAGCTGAGGCTATATTGGAGGAATATATTGGAGCCTCTGGAGACACTCTACATTTTGTTTTATAAGAGAGAGGACATTGTTAGATCAAGATCTTCAGATGATGTGGTGCTGCAGGTTTATCCTGCAGCTGAAAAAGCAAATGCGCCACTGGAATCAATGAAGTCGCCCCGGAGCGCCAATTAATTTGTATTGTTGTTTTTATTTTATTTTTATCGTTGTTTTAATGAAACGTACACATCAAGTAAAAACAAAAAAAAAATAGTATTCCGTCATTCAATTCTTAGATATACTGTCAAACAGATCTACTGACATTTCGTTCCAAATTATTTTTTCTACTACTTCAGGAAGTGTTTCACCTTCAGAAAATATCCAAACAATAATCAGTGATTACTACTCAATCATTTGTTTTCTGACTTTCATTCAAATCATCATTAAAGTCCAAGTAATTTTTTTTGATTGTAGGCTGTTCAGAAAATAAGATAAATTTTGCGGGCTACAACTTTTCGATTAGCAATTTTTTATGTTGGTGCACTCGTATTGAACATATGTTTACATTTTCAGCTGTTTAGGATGTTTATTTTGTTGGTGGGAAGCAAAAGAGTTAGAAGTGTTTTGCGTGTTTGGAGAAAAAAATGGATCGAAGAATTTGCATCAAATTTTGTGTAAAAAAATAAATTAAGTGCTCAAAAACACTGGAAATGTTGATAGTGGCATACAGTGATTGCACTCTGATTCAGAAAAATGTTTACCAGTGGTACAAACTTTCCATAGAAGATCGAGAATATGTGAATTACTAGGAAGTTACTGAGGATGTCGGCATGCAAATTGGCTTATGCCATGCAAGTTTTTCGGAAATTTTGGGCATGAAGCGTGCGGCAGCCAAGTTCATTCAATCAAAATTTGCTTGGAAGGATCATAACTGGTGACGAGTCATGGGTAAATGGTTATAACATCGAAATCAAAGTCCAATTAATTGTTCCAATGAAAGAGCCCAAAAGAGCCAAGACCAAAAAAAGCACGGCAAGTTCTCAAATTGTAAGATGTTGCTAACCGTTTTCTTCGATCACCGTGGCGTAGGTCATCAGGAGTTCTTCCATATGGTCGTACGGTCAATAAGAAATATTATCTCTGGTATTATTTGGCCAAAAACAACACCGTAATCATGCTTCGGTCACCGTATTCACCAGATTTGCCCCCCTGCGACTTTTTTCTTTTCCCAAGAAGAAACCCTTGAAAGAGCGGCGCGGCGTTTTGTGACGGTTGAAGAGGTAAGAACCGAATCGCTGAGATAGCTCGCAGACATACCAAAAAGTGTTCATCAGAACCGTTTTGAGGATTGGAAAAAACGCTGACACAAGTGTATTATATCTTAGCGGGACCCGTTTGAAAGGGGCAAAATAGAAATTGATTATTAAATGAATAGTTTTGGAGAAAAATGAAAAGTCACTTCAGTTTTTGAACAGAGTACTACTTATCAGAAAGAACCAGGCGAATCTGTTCAAATCTATTTTCACTTTATTCAAAGAATAACACCAATAAAACATAGTGTAATCTTTTGACAAATAACTGAGATGATCTGAAGCAGAGATGAGCGGAATTCCCCGTACATTATTTATGATGAATGAACAATTCGTTATTTTGAATCAGGCATGTTAGTGGATTTTCCCATTTTTATATTTGTTGTTGGAAGTTATTGACGGGTCGAATTTACTTTGGGATTTCCCATTTTACGTTACATGTTCCCGACTGAAAGATGGGTTAGATACCCAGTAAATTCAAGGAACCAACTGGAAATCAGACATCACTTATCTTTTCAACAGTTATATGGTTTCACGCCTTCATCAGCAGAATATAAATATATCTTTTTACAATTTATATTCAGTCAGACTTTCAAAGACGGAAATAATAGTTTGTTCCGTTATCGCTGTTGAATGATTAAACTCAAAACATTATTTGAAAAATAATTACTCATTAGGATTATGTATTATATAAAGTACAAAAAGGTTCTAATTGCATTTGATCGTTAATCAAATGAAAATATGAGAAAGCAAATGACTGAAAACATTTCGTGAATATGAGTTGAAATGTGTGAAGATGAATGTAAGGGAGATGGATGAACAAATTATTTCTGAGATGAAAATAAATAAATATTAGATTAATGAGAAATTCTTTATATTGTTACAAATCAAATATTGAAAAAGAAAATCGAATGAGTCAACATAATATCATTACATTTGGGTTTTTTTTTTGTTTGAAATGTAATTAGTTGTCAACAACAAAGTATAATGAAGTGGAGTGTTCGAAAAAGAAGTTGACTGTTCAAATTTCGCGAGCTAGGTACATTACAGATGTTGGTAAACTCGTCTCGAATATGTATTCACCGTTTCAGCTGTGTATACTTTAATTACAAAATAGTAGGCACTAAATTTTCAAAAATGGCTGACGTTTTTGCCTTGATCTGTTTCTTGCGGTGGCGTACGGAAATTATACTGAACATCTGAGGAAAAATGATGATAAAATATATAGAATCACAACCTTGACAGCAATGTTTTCGTTTCAATGCAATAATATTTCTGAGAATTCAGTCCCAACTATTATGGAATTGTACTATAGCATATTTTGTTTGTTGGTGAGAGACGTAAAAGTTAGAAGCGTTTTGCGTGTTCGGTGGTTTTCTGCTTTAGAAAAAATTGGAGAAAAGAATTTGCATCAAATTTTCTGTAAAAATGGAATTAAGTACTCAAAAATACTTAAAATGTTGACAGTGGCATACGGTGATTGTACTCTGAGTCAAAAAAAGGTTTACAAGTGGTACCAGCTTATCTCAGAAAGTCGAGATGATGTGAATAATGCTCCTGCTCACTCTTCATTGCTTGATCGTAATGTTCTGGCCAAAAACAATACCGTAATCATGTCTCGATCACCGTATTCACCAGATTTGGCCCCCTGTGACCTTTTCCTGTAACCAAGTTTGAAGAGACCCATAAAAGGACGGCATTTTGCGACGATTGAGGAGATAAAAACCCAGTCGCTGACAGAGCTCAAAGACTTACCAAAAAAGCGAGAGTTAATCGATAGCAGAAAATGCCGAACACGTAAAACAATTCTAACTTTTATGTCACTCAACAACAAACTTAACGTATACTCACCAAATTTAATAAAAAGTAGTAAAATATATATAGGGACTAAGTAATTGATAATATCTTCTCACGATATGGACTGTTCTGACCATTCACTAAAAACATATAACTGGTAACTGTTTATTTCTACACGAACAAGTTTTGAAAAACATCAACTAACAATAAGAATAATCTACTAGGAAAATCCGATGATTAAACCACCAGCAAGCAGGTTAACATCAAACATAAAATCTTTCGAGGTTGAATTTCTGTTTCAAGGATTTTTGTATTGATAAATGAATAATGGTGACATAATTATGATGAAGTATTAAGTGAATTCAAATTATTCGATAAAAGAATTGCATTCCGCGGACTCTGCGGCAGACTGAATTGTACACTGAGAGAGATAATTCGTAAAGATTAATGTGGAATAAAGGGAAAAAATTGTTCAATAAAAAATTGTCGAAACTGAATTACTGAAAGTAACAAATAACTCGAATAAACTGTAAGTTCAGGTGGAAATTTTTCACTTCAATTCAAATAAGCATGAACTGTTTTTTCTTAAGAAAGCAGTATGAAATTATTTATATTTGTTCAAGGAAAGCGATAAATTGATTTCCACCCATTATTCCTACCCATTAAAGGAAAAATAAACATGAGTAAATCTTTTAGTGACAAGGCGAAGTTATCTGTCCTTAATAATTCGTCATCTATGGGATCGTCCGAGAACTCAATCCTCGAATATCAAATGTGAATGAGGTTCCCCAAGGCGGCCAAACTTCGACATTGACCGCCGCGCCGACGAGATTCGTCCTCTGTCTTTTACCACAAGACAACTACATAGTTGATACCAAAGCCCATGAACAAAGTGAGTGCTTCTTGTTTAGCAGTGCAAATCTATAGCTGCCATAACAACTGTTTGAGTTGAAATTGAAGAAGAATAAAGGAAAATTTTGTGGATTGAACACTCAAAAAATGGAGGCAAACCGCGGACACGTGTTTCTGGCTATATTGGCCTCATCAGCGCGGTGCAGCCAATTGCAAAGATGGACAACAACTGGTTACCAAAAATGAAAAACTTCACATATGCACGATGTCACCAACAGGAGCTAACCGCACATTTGTGGTTTCAATTAGAAGACCTAATTTGAGTGTCCTGTCCACAAATTTTCTCTTTTGATTTATTTCATACACACTCAATAACATCTTTTTCTCTGTATTTATACCCTGGACCCGGAAGTCACGCAGGTAGCTATAGCTGCCTATGTGGTGATGTTAGATGATGCCTGGGAATGCTAGATCTTCTAATGTTAAATCTAACATTTTCATTCATTTAACATTTTCATACCTTTACAGGTATCAGGAAATATAAAATTATTCAACATTATAAAATATTTTTTCAAGAAGAATATTTCTCAATTTATTTTTGAATAGAATTTCATTCAGATTAACATCTATTAAATATCTTATTGTAACATTTGATGCCAATATGCTACGGTGAATTTTCTCAGACTGACAACCTTGCATAGGTTTGTCGAACTCTTTCTTTATTCCTAGATATGATTCCATTTTCGTTTCTTTTTATCTTCATAAACAGCTCAAGAATATATAAACATGGATGGGTTAGTATTTAGATTCTTGAATAAAGGTTTACATGCCGTAGTTGGATGAGCATGACGCATTGTTCTTATTATCCTTTTTTGAGATGGAAATGCCCTTACAAATTGACAAGATGACCCCCAAAAGATCACGCCATATTGCAGAGTTGAAGAGTTGACTGAACTATTCCAAAATATAATAGTCCCAAGATGTCTGCTGATACAATTGGTTTTTTTCTATTAAGGCTAAGGTCATTTTCAAGGCTATATCTTTCTATTTCATTAGATGCCTTATTACTTAGTTTTGTTAATTGGTCCATGTTATTGTGTGACATCAGCATATATTATCATTTGATTTACTGAGGTACAGGTGTCTTCAATGTCACTCAGAAACGCTTTAAACAATAGTGGCCCCAAGAATGAACCCTGTGGAACTCCTGTATTTATTATTCTTGAATCTGATTTCTCATTATTCACTACTGTCGTCTGTGTTCTGTTTGTTAAGTAGGTATGATGTTACCCATTGAAGCGGAACTCCCCTAACGCCTAATCCTTCCAATTTCATGATTAACAAATGATGATCAACAGTATCAAGAGCCCGACTGTTCTGAAGCACAGAACATTCCTAGAACATGATTTGTATCATTGAGAGCACTGTAGATAAACTCTAGGCAATCATAAATTGCTCTATACTGGGTGCCTGGATACTTGGGAATCACAGATGTATTGTTAGCAAAATCTATTGCTTGACTGAAGCGGAAAATGGAAAAAAAAAGATGAATAAAGAGTACTCCAAAAAAACACCAGGTAACGCAAAGCCGTTCGAAAAAATAACCGAAAAACCGCTTCAACACCACAGAGACCAGATCAGGATGATTATAGGGCTCCTCACATTGTCTTACACTCAGGTGGAAGTAATGGATCACCAAAATTAAGCCTTGAAGAATACTACAAACATCCAACAAAGGATCTGTAGAAAATAGTCCTTCCATTAGCATTGTGTGATAATGTGGAACCAAGCTTTATGGCCATAAAAATGTATTCAATTTACAAAAATGGTTTGAAGTATTGATTTCGGAACATAACGAATAATGTTTTGTAATGAGTGTCAATATATGTCATTTTTCTATCCATTTCACCAAACCAAAACCAATGCCGGTAACCTATTTATCAAAATTCTGTTAATAACGATTAAAAAATTAATACCCAAAAGCCTAACGGTCTGTGAAAATGGTAAAACGGACAAATCTAGCGAACTCCTAGATTTTCAAATAATGCCAATTTTCAGTTTTCAATCGTTGTCAATATCAATGTCAGTTTTGTTTAATTCCCATAGAAATATCCTAACCACGTAGGATGTACGAGACATTAATAGAAGAATGATGACATGTACTTACCTTGTTCCAAGAGAAGATGTCCCTGAAAAGTTCACGACCGACAGAACAAGAAAAACTGTCGTTGCTAAGAATAAGAACTTGTCTAAATACAAACTTCGTCCCTTCCCCCACCCCCTCCACGTAGGCAACTCTGATATTTTGATTGGATTTTTGGATGGTAAACATCTTGTGTTATCTTTTCTTTCTTGATAATTTCGGTGAGGTCACTGGTTTCGAATCAATTGCAATTTTAAACAGGTTATCGTTAGTGTTCATTTAATATGAAATTTGAGTGTCACAGCAATGAGTGCGACCTCAGCAGAGAGAATATATTATTCCATCAAGGAAAGATATTTTTATTTATTCAATACAGAGGGTTCTGACTTGTACTCATAGTGGAATCAACGAAGTTTTTTTCTTGGAAGTTCACAGAAGCAGCTCTGAATTTGATGATAATGTTTTCAAATGTTTGTTTTTGCTTATCATTAGAAGTGGAAAAAGAATAATGTTTCTCAAAATATATCATATCTATACTTATACATGCGGAAGTCACCCACTTAACTCTCACACACTCGCCTGCCTCCAAATATTCAAACAGTGTACTCGAAAGCCGTGTTGATGATCGAAAAGACAGATACTATTGCAAATTCGCTGATCCTTTGAGGACTGTAATATCTGGCAGATAAATTAGTGTTGTCTGTTTCACGATGAATCTGTATTTTTCGAATATGACTCCTACTTCGACAAATAATTGAAATTGCTGACTTTCGTCAGCAATTTCAATTATTTGTCGATTTAATGTTGTCCCCCACAGACTTAGTTTGCTGACCAACCTTTTTTGGATCGATTCGTCATGTGTGATGGAAAATGGATCTTCTATTTTGACAGGAGACATTCGGTACAATGGTTGGACATCGATGAGCCATCCAGGTACTCCCCACCCACCAAAAAAGAACATGTTTACTGTATGTCAGCGGCTGGTGTAATTCACTATAACTTTCTGCAACTGGGCCAAGCCATCACAGCAAAGTTCTATTTAGAGGAAATGGACGTCAGCAGCCGGTACTGGTCAACAGAAAAAAGGTCCGATCTTGCTCCATGACCTCTCGCCAATCAACTACCATTTTTCAAGTGCTTTGATATTTTTCTCACCGGTAAAACCTTAGCCAATCAGGACCAGACAAAAACGTCGATTTCATCGAATCCCGAGCACCCATTTGTTATGCTGTGGAAATTAATCGACTTGTGTTACGTTGGCAAAGTGCACAGATTTGAATAAGTATTTACTGACATATTACAGTTCAAAGTGGACTCATAAAACGGACAAAACTTTTGAAATAACGTAATATTAAGAGAAGAATTCGTTCGTTGCCCAGTCAAAGTAGTACGTAAAGTGCCAGTAACAGTTTTTTCCGAAATTGCAATAGAAAAACATGGAGATGTTCGCTGAACCTAAAAACTATTCAAGTTATAATAATAATGTTGAAAGCTATGAAAAGAACTTTTCGTTGAAATGACTGATATACTGTTCGATTTATTATCATTGACTTGTTTGTTGATTCTTATGTATTTATTGTATGTGTCGTGTATAGCTGGTGCCATTTATTAATTGATATTTCATATATTTTTTATGCAGTATATGTTGTCATGTCTCCAAATCTATCTCACGTGTTGCTCTTATGAGCGAAATCATACAGCACTAAAAAATGTTCAAACTGTGTCCATCCAAGGGAAAACGTCCCACCCAAATTAAGATCTGTTCGTCCCAGGTCTATGAAATTTGACTTTGGTTCTCTGTTTCTGTATCTGTAGAGTAGGGAGGGTGAGTGTACAGACCAATATCCCTCCTATCTACTATTGCAAAAAATCATAGAAAAATTAGTAAAGAAGCGACTCATGTCATTTGTCATTAAACATAAAATACTAAATGGTAACCAATACGGTTTTGAAACCAACAAAAGTACAAATGAGGCTATCTATAAATTTTTAGAAAACGTGTACACTAATCTTAATAATCAAGAAGCGACCGCGGCGGTGTTCTGTGACTTATCCAAAGCTTTTGATTGTGTGAATCATGCAATACTGCTGCAGAAGCTTGAGTACTATGGCATCAGAGACATATCCCATAAATGGATGACATCTTACTTGCAAGACCGGAAACAATATGTGAAAGTTTCGGGTGCAGTATCTGAGAAAACAAAATTGACCAGCAGAGTTCCACAAGGCTCTGTCTTAGGTCCCATATTCTTTTTGTTATATTTAAATGTTATCATTCAAATGGGACATCGAAAAACATCAACTTCGTGTTAGAATCATCTAGTTTAGTTCATAAGCATAAACTACATTTATTAAAATCTGACACTGCACATAATACTAGGGCGAATGGCCAATATATACCTTTATTAATCCCCAGAACCACCCAATGCCAAAATTCAATTGTTTACAATGGTACGAAAATGTTCAACCATCTACCGAAGCTAATTAAATAGCACTTCGAAATTCAGAAGAGCTGTAAAAAATTGTTTAATAACAAGACCATTTTATAATTTGAGGGAATTTTTTGAACAAAATTTTGAATAGCTGTGACAGCAATACAAAATATGTCTTATCTATGTCTCTCACTAAATAGTGTTAAGGTTAGGTGTGTATGTATGAGTATATATATGTATGTACTTATTAACTGCCTGTATTAGAAAATCAATACATTTCATAAAATTATTATATGTATGTATGTATATGTGTATATGTATATATGTATACATGTATATGTGTGTACATGGGTCTATATGTGTGTGTGTTTATATGTGTATATAAGTATATGTATATATATTATTTTAATGATTTTATCATCTGACAACTCTGTCCTGTTCTGTATTTATAATCAATTTATATAGAATAAATTAGGGAAAACTGTTTTTATATCTAGTTTACTGTATTGTTGTGACAATATTTTATAGTAGCATGACTGTATATATACATTAAGTACATCCACTTTTAACATCGGAAAATCCATATTGGTTTGCATAATTTTAATTTTATTTAATTATCATGACCTGCTCATTTTAAGCAGTTAGGATTATTTTGAAGTTCAAACATACATCATTCACAGTAATATCATGAAGTACAACAGTGATAGGATTTCACATAAAAAACGAAGTTTATCAGTATTAAAAATCTATATTTTCACACAATTTGAACAAATAACAATATTATGGCAGTGACTGACAACACTTACAAACTCATCATTAAACGCATTGGATGAAATCAAATGGTCGAACAATTCCCTTGAGTTTTACATAAGGATCAAAAATAAAATATATATAAATCCAATATATCTCCAGAAACAGCTTTTTTCATACAAGAAGTCAACACAAACACAAAAACAGTTTAAAACTCGAGCCAATTGAAATAATTTCAATAATCAGTCCAATCTTCTATGAATTAAAACAAACTTTCCCGTTCGCGGAGAAGTGGGAAAATCCGTGTGGAAAATTTCGTGGGTCTGTCTGTACCTGAAATGTAAAAAAAAATCCTGAATAAATTTTGATATTTTTTCATTAACAGACAATGCAAGCTCTATTCTCTATGGTCTCATAAGAAAAATAATTTTCCAAACAAACTATTTTATTCATGTTTATAGAAGTGATTGTATTAAAGCTTTTTAATTTTTTTTCTGGCCATCAATCACATTGATGTTTCCTGAATACTATTTCATATTTCTTTTGTGTAATTATATCACTTAAAAAAGTTTGGTTCAACATTTTAATAACCCTAATAAAAATTTTCTCAATTTTATTTGTAAGTAGGACCACAATTTGTAATTTTTTTTCAGAATCTGTTTCATTATTTTATTGATAGAAAGTTCTCTTACAACAGTTAATAATGAACCTGGTTATTGGAAAAAAGTTTCTTGGTATTCACTCCTCCATCTTTATACAAAGCATTGTGAGAAACTTCCAAAGGAAGAAAGAAGAGCAATTGAGTTCTAAGAAAAACTATTTGCAAAGATGTGTAGATCATGCATAGAAGTTAATTACATGTACAAAATGGAAGAAGAGGCCCTCCAGAAACAACTACTTTCACATGAACAATGAATTACATAAATGAAAAAATACTTTCGAAACAAGTAATCACTTTTTTCTATTCAGTTTATACTACAAACATTCGTTATGGATTCGAATCAGATATCATCCATGAGAACGCTACAAAAAAAGTTACGATATAAAATTTCACTTACATGAAATACTATTATTCTCAATGGCGGACCTCGAAGACAGTTGTGGGAAAGAGAGGCTTTCTACTTGTCCATCTTCACACTTTCTTCCTTTCTTTGGAAAATTCCCACATTTTTTTGAAATCAGTAAATATACAATGCCGTTTCTGGGACAAAATCCAATGCTTTTTCTTATAGCGTTTCATTTTGAAAAATTTCTGACCTCCGAGCGGAACCTTGTGGAAAACCTAACCTTATCTATGATACGGAATTAATGTATAGAGCACGCTACGCCCCCTTACATTGGGCCCCTTCGCTATGGCCCCCTTAGAGCTTAACCCCTGAACCCCCATGTCGGGCAACATGGGCAATAAGAATTGGACCCAGGTCGTTCTTAGCCTCGACACCAACGTGAGACGTTGGATGTGAATGTGTAGGTTACTCAGAGAACATGAAGTCGGCGATTTCGAAGAATTTATCGACAGAGAAAAAACAAAGATGGTGCCAAGAGGGCACTAAGCCGTATTTTCGGTAATAAAAGTCGCATCCTCACGTGCAACACGTCAAATTGAAGGAAAAGGAATGTAGAATTCATACCCAATTCAATTTAAGACACTTGTCTTATTGCCTCATCAGCACCGTTCTGGATAATATTAAATAGGACCTATTCCTTTGGAAGTTTCCCGCCTATTTTTGTATACAGATAGAGAAGTAGAAGCCAAAAAACTTTTATCCCAAAAACTAATCTCTTACTGCTTACCTGCTCAAAATATCCCGTATGTTAGGTTGCAGAATATCAAAACTAATGATATGAGTAGGTAGAGTTCCATTGGGAGGATAATTTTGCCTCAGCCATCCATTAGGATTTTCATAAAATAAGTCTGCTTCGTCCACATAGTTATCAATTTTGTTGAAATTCGGCGTGCAGGTCAAAAATCTGGTAGTAACATTAACATGCAAATGACTGAAAACAAATATGAAATTTTGATTCAAAATCAACACTTCTCCCAAACACCAAAACTGCAACACGCGCGACTTCAGTAGACATTTCATCTCCTGAAGACGCCAACTTGGTTGGTGAAACGGGTGTCGAGAAGATTGCTGTAGTTCTGATGTTAGGGATAAGTCCTTGTTTTGGATTTATTCAATGCCAGAGACTCCAGTTCTATTTTTCATTTCTTTGAATGTTGAATGAATCTAAAATAAGCTATGATCTTGGATATTTTGCATTAGTACAGCTCCAAAACCATGACAGGGTAATGTTCCATTTCGATTTGAGGTATGTCGAACTGGTCGGTGAGAAATATAAAAGATTTGGACAAGAATTGAGAATAAATATGACCCAAATAAACGTGAAATGTTTCGAAATAAAATCTCCAAATATTCATCTACATCGTAGGTTCTAGTAAATGCTTGCTCACTTTGAGAAAGGCATATGTGCTACTGCAGAAGATCGCTCAAAGTCGAAGAAAAATCGCACTTTGAAAGCCTTATCGTTTGAAGGGCACGAATTAATCAAGGCCGTTCAAGGGTAAACCCAAAACACCACCCCAAAGTCACCTTCTCTGCGTCGTGTGACGTTGTCAAGGTCATTTAATGTCCAACACTTCTTCGAAGTCACCTTGACTACATCGTACGATGTTGGTAAAGGTCGTTTCGAAGTTAAAAGTGGTAGGGGAGGCATCGAAATCAGCTTAAACCAACTACTACAACTAGTAGCCGGGGAAGTAGTTGTTTACCGGCAGACATTTACTAGTGCCTACTGTGTAGGTAGGTGGGAGAGATGAATGTATCGAAATTTTATTTTAAAATGTTAATTTTCATAATATTTATGTATCTCTCCTTGATACAGTCTTTGGACTTGTTTTGATTTCTGCCATAAATAAAATATTAAAGCACATTCATGGGATTATCTTCATATCTTATTAACAAGCTAGGTGGTATATATTTTGAAAAATACATCATTGTTTACCTATACAAGGGTGTCGAATGGCATGGCATCAAGAATAATAAATTGGTATCATTAGGATTTTTCAACGATATGCGCTTTAGTGCATCCATGACATCAAGGGTTCCTCGTTGGTGAATCATACTCAAATACCACATTGGTAATATATTGCAAGCAAAAATAAATATTGCCACCAACCACACCGCAGTTCTGAAAAAAAATACATAGGCTTACTTTTTGATTGATATAACTGTTAAATTATGAATATGAAATTATGACTTTATCTTCCATAAAGGTTAATAAACATAGTTTAAAAAATAAAAAACACGATTTTAAAGAACATCCGACTAAAAAGTTAAAAATATTTTTTTAAAATAAGCTCAAAACAATAACGAATGAAAAATACCAGTATTATTGGGAAAAAGCGTGGGCGCTTTGTGCCATAATAGTATTTTTCGTTTGTTATTATTTAAAGCTAATTTAAAAAAATATTTTTAACTTTTCAGTTCGATGTTCTTCAAAAGCGTGTTTTTCAGTTTTTCAAATTATATTTATTTTCAATGTTTTAGTTTCGTATGCCATAAAATCCTGTTTTTGAGTATTTTTAAACTATATTTATTTTTCATTTTTTAGTTCCGTATGCTATGAAAGCGTGTTATTTAAATTAAATCACATAATATATATTCCTTTCAATATTCCGTCAGAAAAGTACTTTTGAAAAGTATGTACGGAGCCTTTGAGAAATTCTGGCAATCAAATCAAAACTCATAAACCATTTTATTACGTAAGATAATTCTATAACGTTCAATATGTAATTTTTCATTGAAAAGCTCTTTTTTGAAATATGGGTTTGTATAGATAAATGCCCAACGATTCGCACAACATTTTAATTGCATCACACACATGAATTCCATCATTATCTAGAACATATCTTTAAGATTCCAAATGAAAAATTTGATGTTTGTCACATTGATCATGATCACGAATGATTATGATCATTATGATAAAATATATCAAATATTTATTTTTAATTTTAATAGATCAATATTCTCAGTAGACTAAGACCTAGAATAAATAAATTCATTCATCCCATAATTAGCGTTTATGTAGGATATCTACACTTCCTGAGAACGTTTTTCCAAATGGATTTCAAATGAAAACTCCATTAAATCAATTTATTAAAATCAATACAAATATCTTATCATCTGATGAATATTACTCAGATCAGGTTTATTCGGGATTGTTAATTCTATGAAATTACATCGAGAAATCTTCAAAATAACATAACATTTTTTTTCAAAGATAAGGAAGAGAGTGTTTGCAAACATTGAATCTTTCAGTATGTCAACGTTGAAAAAAAAATCTATTACCCAAAATCTTTTTCTGAGAAGAATAAATTTGTCAATAAAAATGGGTTTCAAATTTATTTTGCAATTTCATTCGAACCACCAAGTATATACTCATACAACTCTTTGAGAAACAGCTTTTCCCGGGGAAATCATGGTAAACGAAATATAGGGTGTTCTATTAAAAATTGTTTTCGAGTTTTAGTGAAAAATGTTTTGTAAAATGTTCATTTGATAGTGAAAATACTTAATTGTTAAAATATAACAAACCACTGTTTAACTGAGTATACATTGAAATCTAGATTTCTGAACGACTCGATTTATAAATACAAACCGAAATTTTTCGTAGTACCTACTTTTCTGTCAGAATCTGAATATGGACAGCAGTATACCTATGTCGTTTCATAAAAAAATACATGCAACTCTCTATATTAGAGAATATTTCAAAGAAGCTCATTGCATCGTTTCTAAAACTGTGATACGAAACATTTTGTTAACACGCTTTTATTAGCTTCACCTGCATGTTTGTTTGTTTGTAACTCTCGAACTCGGAATCCGTATTTGACAGAATTACCGATATTATTGCTTGATCGACGCTTTTATAGCATACGAAACTAAAAAATGAAAAATGAATATAGTTTAAAAAACGAAAAAACACCCTTTTAAAAAAAATCGAACTAAAAAGTTGAAAATATTTTTATTGATTAAACTTAAAACAATAACGTCGCTTTGTGCTATATTTTTAAAGAGTGTTTTTTAGTTTTTTAAAATATATTTTTTTTTCATTTTTTAGTTTCGTATGCTGTAAAAGCGTGTTTTTTAGTATTTTTAAAATAATTTCATCTAAACTTTGGGATCAATCAGCCATATGTCGTTTAGAAAAATGACCATTGATATTTTTGTACAGCGTCATCTGCCCGTGAATAGTTCAAGCAATAATGTCGATATATCAAGGAGGTTACATACTTCGCCATCTGTCCGCGAATAGATCAAGCATAAATGTCGGTAATTCTGTCAAATACAGATCCCGAGCTTGAGAGTTGCAAAGTTACATACATACATACAGATGAAGCTAATATAAAGCGTGTATTGAAAAAAAAGACCAACTTTGATCTGCCATGCTTCTACTCCACACCCTTTATATTCGAGAATATTTTTGAAGAGCTTGATGCATTGATATCTAAAACTTTTATACGAAACGTATTGTTTTAAGCTCACAAAAAAAATTACCTTTTCAGTTCAATGTTCGTTAAAAGCGTGTTTTTTAGTTTTTGAAACTATATTTATTGATGATAACTTCACTCATTCATGTCAAACTCTCAAAGGAAGCTCGATGAGACACTGAGACACCCTGTATGCATCTGCATACGTACCAACTTGGTCGTGGTCGTTAATATCGAATAAACTGGCTAAATAGTTGTAGCAAATACATCAATGAAGAGAGAACAAAGGTACGAACCAGGCCAGTTTCCTGATACATCTGCTCTGAATGGCCCTTATTTACTGAATGAACATGTGAACAATCATGCATTGTTAATGTTTTTTCAATGTGATGAAATCCTAGTAGCCGATGTTATGACAATTCAATCGTAATTCTGTAATGAGGGAACTAAATATTGTTTATGTCCAAAACATTAACCCAATAAAATGGCATTCAATAGCTTGTAAGAAAAAAAATGAGTATATTCAATTTGATAAGTAATTATGATGAATAGAATCATCGTTTGTAAATATAAAAGCAAGAATAAAAAAAAGGGGTCGACAAATCCGTAGTGGATGGATCCTGGTATCGAAAATGAGTAGTGATATAAAAAGTTCCTATATCATCCTATATAATTAGATATCATTCACCAGGAACGTTACACAATATTGTATATGAAAAATATAAAATTCAACTTACATGGAACACTGTTATTCTTACTGGCGGACATCGATGTGTCGGAATAGAATACTTGTCCTATGGCCTCATCAGCACCAATCTGGATAAGCACTTACTTTATTTATAACATTGTGACTTTATGTCACGAATTGCGTTTTTCTTTCCTTTGGTAGGAGGTTTATTTTCATTTGGATGATGAAGAAATGGAATGTATAGATTTTAAATCCAAAATTCAACAAAACTGTATGAAAATTAAAAGGAAATACGAAAAAGTAGGAATGGAGCTGTTTAGAATAGTATGCACATAATCGTATCTATTACATAAACAAAATATATAAAGTAATTTTCAGACCGACTATGCATACACCATGTTCTTTTTCGATCAGCTGTTATACATGCAAAGCTAGAATAACTGTCGTTCAATATGTAGACGACTTCCTTAAACTTGCTTTTGAACCAGGGTACTTCTCTCATTGGTTATTCCTTTTATATTTGCTGATCTTTATATCGGATCAGGGCCGCAACTTCGAATCGGATTTATGGAAGAAAATGATGACTTTGTTGGAAATGAAGAAGATAAGAACAAATGATCTTCAACCACAATCCGATGGACTGGTCGAGAGACATAATCGCATAATTTTGAAAACCAAAGTGACTGGGATGAATTGGTTCCTCTCTTTCTGTTGGCATACAGGAGCTTCTAACATGATGCGATAGGTTACACACCATCCAAGTTGTTAACTGGCCGAGAATTGAAGCTTCCCATAGATGCATTGTGTGGTAGCTCATCCGATGATTCCCAAAACGTACCTATTTCAGAGTATGCGAATGACCTGAAGGAGAGACTGGAAACTGTACAAAAATTTTCCAGATCTAAATTACAGCTTTCAAGTGACAGGATGAAGATAAGATTTGACAAGAAGTCGCTGAAACTGAGCTTCAAGGAGGGCGATGCAATGTGGCTCTGCCAAACCCAACGTCGGAAAGGTTTGTGTCCCAAATTGCAGAGCCATGGCAAGGACCATACCTGGAAATCAAAAAGATAAACGATCTGGTGTACAAAATCCAATTGTCACCCAGAAGCAAACCTAAACCTAAAATTGCCCACATAGAGAGGCTGAGTCCTTACATGGGTCGTGATGTCTCCTCTTGGAATGTTGTTCGGGGCCAACAACCCCGAGGAATGGGGTAATGTTGTAAATCATAACCTAAAGAAAATAACGCTGGCCGCCACTGGTAGCCATGAACCAGTTGTGACGTGGCAAAGAGCGCGCTCAGTTCGACCGACATTTCGCGAGTATTTTACGACTTCGATGGAATTCCGAGGAATTTTCCTGCGCTTTCGATTGCCAAATATAAGCGCCATCCACTCGCCAATCGAGACAGTCAAGCGAAAGTAACAGTGCGGTACGCGAAGGGATCTAGTAATTGTTTGTTGTCTTTAAAGTGAAATAAAAGTTAGGTTTGATTATTATACAGTGTAGTCAATTATTGCTCAACCCAAGGGGGAAAACGTAATAATACCATGCTTGTGTTTCAGAAACTGCAATCATTGCATATCTGGAATGGGCACCCAGAGGTAACCAAAGGAATCACATTAAGGTTTCCCTTAATGATTTTGATCTCAAATGTTAATCTGAGATATGAAATTTACATGGAGTATCATCAGAATAAAATTAAATACTGGTGAATTTTAAAGTCGTATTTCAAGGCAGTACAGAAATCTAGAGAACATTCATCGCTATAAAAGACCGATCTCAATTGAAATCAATTTCCGACAGCCATATTGGTTTAAACAGGTTGGAGCCTGGCTCCCTTACCTTTTCGACTGGTGTTTGTCAAAAGGCCAAACGGGTCAAGAATGATCATGGGCGGCATGTATGTCCTCAGTCATCGTATGGATGAAGATATTGTTCATCTTTCAACGGAGAACATGAGGGCCCCACTCGCAGGCTCGTCTGAGCCTGCTATATCGGGAGGGGTCGTCTACAGCATAAACTATAGCTTCCC